CACAGGTCAGCTCAGTTTTTCCTCTAGTTTTCAGCTTTTGTCTTCTTTTCTTCTTATAGTCTCTGCTTGTTCCCTGGCGTAAACACCTTACCGGCACTAAGTTCTGTGAAACCGTAGCCTACATCGAATTAACGTACACGAAACGTTGGCATTAGTCAGAGGAGCTGTATATAAATCATGGGCGTGGAGGCAATCAGCACAGTCGAGAAAATGATTCGACTCATGTCCATTTTCAACAACGTCCGTATGTCAAGTTAATTGATCAATTAAATGCAGATATAAAATATATATAGTTGATTCAATAAGCTCACATCCTTCTATGCAAATCTTGCTTATTGTCTTCAATTTCTAGTGATAGTCTAACACAACATGATGCTACTGATTTCCATACTTTCCGACAGCGGATTTGTGTGCTTTGTGATGCTGTGCACTCTTCATAATCTTGCAGACGTCTGGCAAATCGACAAATCGCATGTCGACCGCGAAATACTCAACTTCTTGGGGATAGATGCCTATTAGGAATACAGAGTCAATCGAAAAGTTTGCTTTCTCTGGCCACGTAGCATGAGGCCACCCATAGGTGCGATAGGGGGAGCCGGGCTCTCCCCAGGTGAAGGGGGTCTCGGCTGTTCGCGACCTTCCAGGGTGAAGGGGGTATGTGAGTCTAGGGGGGGGGGAGGAGGAAGAGAGAAAAGGTAAGAGAGCGTGGTATGAAGAGCTCTAATTTGCACCTTATTTAGGCACAAATTGAAAAAAATTAAAAATTTTCAAAAGAAATTAAAAAATTTAAAAAAAATTGATTATGAAGATCTGTGCTCCTGCTTCACTGCATCAACAAGAAAACGAAAGCAATAATGTTTATCCCAAAAGATGTACAAGTTAGGAACAACTTCATTTCCTGCACATCATCATCAACAATATCACTATCGCTAACGCCAGAGACAACAAGTTCGCTGCCTAAAAAATCTTCTTCTTCCTCCAAAAGGTCATCGGAGTAGAAGTAGAATTGCGTGCAAAAGCGTTCTGAGTCGAAAATGGATTTGAAACTCTCTTCTTCTTTTAAGCGCTTTTGTGATTTTTTTCCTGGCCCTCTGGTAGCACCAGGAAGTCAGCAGCTAGGTGACCAGTTTCTTCGTACCTTCTTTTAGGATATTTCAAAAAGTCATACGGTAACAGCCTGTCTGGACCACTTATACCAGTCCTTTAAATGAAGTTTTTAGATAACAATGTGTTTAGTAGAAGGTTGACAAATCTTAAGTATTTGCTTAGATGCTCTATCGTTGTACGACTTCTGCGTTGTGTTCTGATAACAGAGTAGATAGAAAATTTTTTTCTTCACCTCTGCCGTGCTAGTCGGAATGGAAACTAGCTTTGCTAGTAGGTCCATCAGATTTTTGCGGTAAGTAATGGGAAAAGAGCCAGATCTCATATGCTTCCGCAACACGGGAAGGAAATAGTGTACTTTTTGGGCCTTGTCGAACTCTGGCTTCATCTCCTCTGGCATACGTCCTGTTAGCTGATTAGAAAGCTGCTCAACTTCTTCTTTAACAGCATCTGCGGAATAGCCGAAAAAAGGAGGTACTATGCTGCGCGTTGGTTTTTTTTTCAATATCATAGGTCATATTGTCACAAGGTGAATAACTTTCAAAAGCATAAAGCACAGAGTTGGGTTCGCACTCCAGTCGGGATCTAAGCGCAGTAACTATGCTTTGTACTAACACCTTCCTTTTGTTCATATCCATGTTTGTGAATTTAGCAGCCTTAAATTCTTCAGCAACCTGAAGATCAGCAATGGACTTCCTGAACATTTCCTCATTGAATCTAGACAATCTGCTTGGATTCCTTATGGAGGAAATCAGAGAGTTTCGCTCAATTGCCAACTCTGTATCAATGTCGACAACATTTTCGTCGGCGTAAGATTCTCCTTCTGCCTCGCTGTTGAACTGGAACACATGCTCATCTGCGATTTTGTAAAGTATTCTGCCTGCCGTTTCCTCTACAAACTGCCAACCTTTCCAAAACATTGAAGAATATTTTAATAACATTTTATTCTTCTGAATGTCTTAGAGTTTTTAATTCATTGAAGCCAACCATTCTCTACAAATTAGGTAAGGTGAGTCTAGAGCGTTTTCACGAAAGTGACCTTCTTCAGCACTAGGTTTACAGAGTATAGATTCCAGAAATGGGCGGGTTTTGTGTGAAGGTGTGGAAATTCACCAATCTCCCATAGTTTTTTGAGTGTGTGCTAACAATGATGGCATAACTGTCAATCAAAAGCGCATTTTTTTACCAAAAAAACAACGTAAACATATAACAACGATAAGGACGCTCAAATAGACGCGTTCTCTCACGTTCCCGTTAGTGCTGATAACGATGTCAATCCACAGCACATTTTTTACTATTAACTTGCTCCACCTCGCTCTTATTAGGTCGTCCAGAAAGTTTTTGCACACGAATTTAAAAATTCTTAACTTCTGATTTTTCCAACCGATTTGACTGCTTTCACTTTTATGTGAAATGGTAAGCCATGCTCTTTATAATGACATCTCAGCTGCTTAGTAATGTTCATCTGTTGCATAGATAGGAGCGATAGAAGAAAAATGGTAAAAATTTTAATTTTCTGTGTAGGGTCATAAAAAATCGGAGACTTGCAACAAAAATCTAAGCGTCTCCATGAAAAGTTATGATTTCCCTGAAGAATGCCAGAATAAATCAAATTCGCCTTTTTGTACCGCTTGCTCGGAAATTATAACTTTTCATGGAGACGCTCAATCGGAGCAAACTTTGCACTGTTAGAAAGAGTTGGTGAAAGAACCTAAAATACCGACTGCTCCGATTTTGTTGCAAGTTTCTGATTTTTTATGACTCTACACAAAAATTCAAATTTTGAGTGATTTTGTTTTGAGCTTCTATCTATGCAACAGATGACCATTGCTAAGCAGCTGGGATGTCATTATAAAGAGCATGACTTACCCTTTCACATAAATGTGAAAGCAGTCAAATCGGTTGGAAAAATCAGAAGTTATGAATTTTTGAAAATTGTGCTCAAAAACTTTCGGGACAACCTATACAATGTGTTGGCTTTTGTGGGTTACCGGAGAAAATGATTTTTAGAGCCGGGAAGCAAAGAAGCCCTAACATGCTGTATACCATTCGAAAGCTGAGATCATGGAGAATCGACGTAGACCGTCGACTTTTTTCTAGGTCTTCTGTGTCGCGAGATATGAGGGATTTTATGTGCTTCAAAAATTAACTGATTTTGTGTCCTCACTTTCTGCTCTCCAAATGAATGCTACGAGAAAGTCGACGGTCTACGTTTGTTAATAAAGACTTGCTCTTTAACACAGATAGATAAGCAGCAGTGATTAGGTCTTCATTTGGCAGAAATCTGCTGTTGAAAATGACCATGTTTTCAGATAAAATGCGGTGTATCTCTCGGTAGAGGGGGGCTAGAAAGAAGTCGACGGTCTAGGTTGAATCCCCTTTTCCTGAGCTTTCGAATGGTATATAGGTTGCTGGACGAAAAAACGGACCAGTTTTCAAAAATGGGGTGGAGATATTTACTATTAGCTTGCTCCAATCCGGCTCCACCAATGTATTGGCTTTTATCGGTTACCGGAGAAAATGATTTTTAGAGCCGGGAAGCAAAGAAGCCCTAACATGCTGTATACCATTCGAAAGCTGAGATCATGGAGAATCGACGTAGACCGTCGACTTTTTTCTAGGTCTTCTGTGTCGCGAGATATGAGGGATTTTATGTGCTTTAAAAATTAACTGATTTTGTGTACTTACTTCCTTCTCTCCAAAATGCTACGAGGATAAATAAATAATATAAATAAACATAAATACCGTTTCTTTAGTAAATTTATGAGTGTACTTGTTGTTTGAGGTACTTAGCCTGCTTTTCATGACGAATTTTTATCATATTCTCAGAGTACAATACCAATCTCAGCCCAGGTGAAGGGGGTCATCGGGAGTTTGGCCTCAAAGTGAAGAGGGTAAGATCCACAACTCCCCCTATCGCAACTATGAGGCCACCTGAAGACAATACCTTGTCGCACTTTTAACTTACAAACGTTCTCTTGTGAATCTCAGCTTTTTCCGACTCCCCACTGCGCATATAGACACCACAGACAAATGAGTTCATTTTATGGCTGAATTTTGAATTGCCGCGTTTCTGTCGGGAGCACACTAAAGCACGATATTAATGCTTTGCAGAGAGGGGCATTGATAAGGCAGCTATGAGCATGTAAGACGTTTACAAAGATTAAGAGGTGGAGGGAAAAGAAGGTTGAAGTAGTAAGTGCGTATATACAGTACTTATGTTGCAATGAAAATCGGAAAGTTTTGTTTGAAGAAGGGAGAAATCAAACGTTTTTATTGAATGTCGATATCCTCAAAGCTTCGCCGCTCTTCGCTTTTTCCGCCAAACGATCGGCCCTGACTGTCGTACAATATGTCGTCTCCCATCTTTTTGGACAACGCTTTCCTATGCCTGGGTAACTGAGTGCCAATATCTAAAACGTGCAATGTTGCAGAAGACAAAGAAAACCTTTGAGATTCTGGATATGATGAGCAGTAGAGAGCGCGGTAGAACTGATAAATTTATTTTAATTTGTATTTTATAGCGTTATTTGCTTTTGCCAATCCGTGTAAAAGCATATGAGTATACTTTGAAGGATTGATGAAATGGTAGAAAAGTACGCAGTTACTGCCCTTTTTCCTGGATCACTGTGCACATGCACTAAATCTTTTTGTGTTACCAGCCATTATTATGATGCTGAATACACAACAACTGAGTAAAGGCAGCGGATGATCTTTTGGGTCACATCCAAGTCATATGGAAATATATGGATTATAAATAGGAAGGGAGGAAGTATGCTGACTCCTGTTCTGCCGTCCAAGTAGCTAAAACATGCTAGTGTTGTTAGTCCTTTTCCCTGTTGCGTTCTCGGTAAGCATAAGACTGACCATCCTTTCTTACTACCTACGCCATCTAGGTAGCCGAAGTAAGCCTTAAACAAAGCGCACAGATTGCTGCGCACAAGCTACTTGAAGGAGCCGTCACGGATTGCAACCTAACTGCCGATGATGCTTTTTTGAATAAAGGAGTGCTTAGTACGCTTTCTAAAGTGGTGAGTGCATCGAATGCAACTCGCAGTCTTGCATAAGCTTGCATACTGAAAAGTGTTTGAGCAAAACTTTTTTCAATTTTGCAAGTACAAGGCGCTCTTTTAATCTCTTCCGCTTGGCCGCATCGCTCTGCGCGGCGGAACAATCGCTATCCTGCATAATTCTGACTTGGCTCGTGGTCGAATTTGGAGAAAAAGTGACGCGCCTTGTACTCGCTAAATTAGGGTAGTTTCTTCGTTGCGTTGATTCTTTCGATCATTATTTGCAGGATAACGTTGCGAATTTCTGCTGTGACTGTGCAAAAGCCGCTCATAAAGAGATGCACAGATCCTGGTTCAGTAGAAGTGCGATACCCAAGCATTATAAGAGCATATATGTTAAGTCAGTCTAGAGTGCTAATGTTTTTCATTATGCCTGAAGTTTTCTCCATTTTGCAGTGGTTTTCTCAAACGTAGCACGGATTCGATTGCGGGATATCTTTATGAGGTGAAAAATAATTTTTATGATCACTTTAGGAAATTTGGACGCTTTCAAATGTAACTCAGCTTATCTCTTGATAGTTTTCAGTTTTCAACAGTATCTTAGCGTAAGTGAGAGTGCTGCCTTATGATCATCGCAAAATTCAGCTTTGTGCCATAAGCAACATTTAGTTGTCCAACAATGAGAAATAACCCTAACATTTTGTTCCAGATGATTCCCAACATTAACCAGTACACGCTCGGATGCTCTCTGGCAGGCAGGAGCTTTTTCAATGTCTTCGGTCTCCTTGGCAGGAAAGTCTTATGTCTGTATGTGAGAAACGACTTGAGCAGCTTCTAAGAAAAACTAGTCTGACAGGAAATTTCATGGGATTTTTTCTTATTCGTTTTGTTTTCTATTTGAAGACCAGAAGTATGTTGAAGTGCTATAGTTATCCGTAAAGTACATACTTTGAAATTGTTATCTATGCTTTTCACCAAATATTGAGATTAGTCTGACCTTCAAAGTGAGTGCACCTCATCGCATCAACAGGTATAAAAGGAAATGTACGGTTTTTCATAATCAGTCACATAAGTTTCAGAAAGCTTAAGAGATTGTTATCCAGAAGATGAAACAATTAGAAAAAATTTGAGCAAATTTATACTTGAAATGAAATAAGTGTGTATGCATTGAGACTAGCTGTCCAAAAAACGATCATATAATAGAACAGTCTTACCTAGCCATCACAGATTTTTTTCATTTGTTTATTTCAGCGATAAAAAGTTCTTAGGGAGAGATCAAGTGCAAAACTAGATTAAAGGCACCGTCCACCCAAAGCGAAGTTGATGAGATTTCGGTGGCATACTAGTGTGGGCCCCCACACTAGTATGCCACCGAAATCTCATCAACCTCGCTTTGGGTGGACGGTGCCTTTAAATGCTGCGCCTTGACAGCTTCCATGAAATCATTTACGCGTAATACTCCATCAAGAAAAAATCCCCACTGGCCTACGCATCTTTGAATCCTGTTTTGCAGAAGAATACATATTTCACCGGATAAGCCTTCTTTAGATTGGACTTCTCAAACGAATTTTATACCATCGTACTACTACAAATTTTTTTGTCGTCTAGCATGCATCTGAAGCCGAGTTCTGGAGTTCTTTGGTTAAAAAATTGACCGCTCAACTGAAACAATCTCACCGCTTAGCGAAACTTTACTCGAATAGTTAGGTAGTTGTTCATCCACACTTCAATTTAGAATCTTGCTTTCCTTCATAACTCTACACCGAAATCAGGTTTGCCTAGTTTTCACTCTCAGGCTAAGTGACACCCAAATCTGAATTTTCATGAATTAGAGGAAGTACAAGTCGAGCGAATACATCCTTATCACTTTAGGCCCGTATGCACTAACATTTTTGCGGCGAGGGGAGCGGCGTCCCCCGTTATGAAGGGACCGCGTGCGGACGCCGCTGCGGCTTTTTCATCATTGGGGACGCCGCTCCCCTCGCCGCAGGGATGTTAGTGAATGCGGCCCTAAGTAGCTCAGGTTTCGCTTCCCCTTCCATTTTCATGAGGCACACGACGGCGGGTCTCACATCTTGTCTGAACCTTTTCTCATTTCTTTGCGCACCTGGATTTACTTACAGAATGAAAATAGAATCTCGTAGATATGAAGCAATGAATATTTTCTGTTCAACATACACATATAACACAACTGTCCCTTCAAGGCTGGAGGAAAGATAACAATTGGTTTTATTTGTTTGGGCGTTTCGGTTTAAAAACATTTCCACCACATCAATTTAAAACACATTCTCTATAGAAGAAAGTTGTGATATAGTGTGCTTGTTTGAAGAGACGAGAAATGTGGATTCTAAATGCCAGACAATAGATTTATTCAGGCAAGTTGATTACGAGGACACTATTTACGAAGCCACGATTAACAGTAGACATACGAAATGAACACGGATAGAAAATACTGACTTTGGCTCAAACGAACAAAGTGCTTCACGCAGCATTTAATACATTTTTAACACAGGGTTTACTTCATTCGGGTTTGATCGCGAGTCAATCCTAGGCCCTCACTGTACGCATAGTATGTTGTTGACGTTGAGCCTAAATTGATTTGTTGCCAAAACTTTTCTACCCTTCAGAACTTATCTGAAGGGGTATCTAAATACGAAACATGAAGCGGAGGATGCGATTAGTACAGCAGGAAAAAAACGAAGTCAAGAAAAATTACAGAAAATAGTTTTTTCATAACTGCAAAGAAAACAACAGAAGAAGCGATAGCAAAAGTTATAGCTTTACAAAGTATTAACGTATTCTACTCAATTCGAATACTATGATTTGACCAGATGACCGATCCTCATGCTACTCACCGGCTTTGGCGCCGTTTGTGGCGGCACCGGCTGAGCTTTTGGGAAGGTTGGTGACATGGGATTCCCCTTCATGGAAGTAGGTGGTGCCGCACGTTCTTTGGTAAGGGTTTGTTGTGCCACCTGTCCTTTGGTTGCCGTAGGAGTTTGTGGTGCCACTTGACCCTTCGTTACAGTCTTTGTGGTGGTGGTGGTTGTAACGGTTTCCTTAGCAACAGCAACCGGCTCCTCACCGTTCTCAACCACTGAATAAAACTCCACTTCTAAAATACGTTGAATACACAGGAGCATGAAGAAGTGCAAACACTTTTTTTGATGAGGAAATTATTAATGGGAGCAACAAATGGGACAGCTTGCTCTTTGTTACATTCTAAGCTTTTTATCTAGATTGACACTAGCAGCTAACAATTCAAACGTTGTTTATCTAAGCGACCTTCGCCTATTACTGTGTTGTGGTAGCCCTCTTCCACAACCTTACGCATGCGCCGTGAAGAACTCGAACAGGGTTTTTGAGCATTTCTCAAATTTGCGCTGCTGCTTGAAATCGTAAAGCACTGACATACCCTTTCAAATGAGCTTTTCATGCTTTTTCAAATGATGCTTTTTCAAACACGCATTGATATGCAATATTTTTCTTTATTTTCAGATAAAAAAGCAAGAAAAACTTGGAAAATTGCGAATTTTTGGCGCAATAAAGAACGAAAAAATCATGCTTCAATCTATCCTTCCAAAGATAGATGATATTTGGGGTAAACTGCATGTGAATGAATAGAGCGTAAAGAGCTCTATTAGATGATAGCCAACAAACTGTGCTCATACGCAAAGCAGTAAATAACACACAACATCGTTCTCGAAAATTTCAATGACCATATCTCCTTACTTAAAGGCACCATCCACCCAGATTCTCGACTTCCAGGTTTTTGTCGTCTCAGGGCCTTCTCATGTTCCTGATTCCGAATATGAAGTCGAGAATCTGCAAAAACCTCGACAATCCCCATTCAGGAGAACCCACAGGCCGGCTTTCCAGAACAGTGATTGGATGAGCGCGCACAAATGGGCAGGCATGGATGGGGAGGGGCAGGCATGGATGGGGGTTTTCGAGCATCTTCGCTATTCCGAAGCGATTCTCGCTTCCAAAGCGGCATACTGCACCGCGACTTGGGCATTGGATAGGAGGCCTTACTGTTATTGCTGCCAAAAGCTCAACACCCTCATACGGTGGACGGTGCCTTTAAAGCGTAGAGGCTAGCAAGCCATCGTGGGCTTGATGACTCTACCTTCACACATTACAGCAGTGGCACTTCGGATGGCCTCACTTGTCTCAACGCGCAGATACTGCTCGATGTTTATAATTTATCGAAGTGACTAACTTTGCATTTCAGCAAGTATAAAAACCAATAAGTATAAATGCTCTTGCACTGATGTCGTCTGCAAAAGAATAATATATTCTAATAATTATCGAAATTGAAGAATTCAGTCAATTCTCTTTCTTGAGAAATTTACGGTCAATCTCTAGTGTTCCATTTTCCATCGCTCATTCCCAAAATTTGACAATAAGATTAGAATCCCGAACGAAGATGGATGGTTCATCCTTGCGAAAAGCCGTGCGGAGGTATAACACCTATCATGAAAGCACAGGATATGGCGGACGATTTGAAACTCAGCTAGCGCCGCACTCGCGTGCGCCTCGCTTGTGTGACATCCGCCCTTGCTCGGGATTAGCATATAAGTGGAAAAAGCTACTAACCTAATCTAGCAAAGGTTTTTGTGTGACGAAAAATGCTTAACCCGTAGGAAAGTAGTGTTTATTAATCCGTGGATGGAGCTAACAAATGATCCCATACGCGTTTCCACGATCAAACGATTTAGTTACAAGTTTTTTATAGAATGGCTGGAGTGTTTTTAAAAGAAGATTTTGTTGTTATACACCTATATACAGTTACATTGGTAAGATCCACGTATCCGTTAGTTATAGTTTTGGCGTACAATCATGTTTTGAATAATTCTTGTTACTAATAGCTTAACCCATATCAAAGAGATCGGAATGGGAATTCCTCAAAGAAATAAATGATGTTTTTGCGATTATTGTTCCTACCAGTCCCACATCAGAACTCACCCTGGTAGACTGGAGGTGGAGGAGGCCATTGGTATTCCATTTTCTTTGCTGGGATATGCTTTTGTAGCACTTGAACCTGCTCGATCTCGTGTTGCTCGCTCTCCACAGGTGGCCACTGTACGGTTGGCATATGTTTTGGGCCTAGAAAGATTCCTGAGATTCAAGTCCACTTCGGTATTATTTACACTCGAAACGAGGGGAAAGAGGTTTACACAGTCACAACATAAGGGAAAGAGCACACCTTGGTATCCACTCTGGGCATGTTCACCTTCTGGTGGTGGCCATACCCGGTCGATTTTCGAATTTCGCTGCCATGCGGCCGATTTGATAACATCATTAGGATCCTAAAATAGGGAAAATTTTGAGTGCCTAGAAGCTTCGACAGAAAATTCAAGTTTTCAAGGAAGTTTTACTGTTGTATGGAATAAGGTTATTTGAAGTTAGAAACAGGTGAAATCACAATGCTCGACGTACTGGGGCAACTCGTCCATGAATTCAAATAGTTCCAAATAAAAACCTACCTGCTGAATCCATCCCTGATCATCACCAGCCTTGACCACACGAACTGGCTGCCTAAATTTATTATATTCTGTTCTGAAGCTTATCTGAGTAAACAATAATTATTTGAGTCACGCTAAGATTTTGGAAATCATTCTAAAATTCATGGAAAGCTGATAACTAGCGGAAGGAAAGCGGGACTTTGTGACTTAATTAAGCCGCTCGCGCCTGCGACGCAGTCTGCGTCTTCCTCGCGCGCGTGCTCTCCGATCATTATCTAGCCTTAATTAGGTCACAAAGCCCTGCCTTCCAGTCGCCAAGCCAGTTGAATCAAACATTACTTACGCTTCCTTGACAATCTCCTCCTGTGGTGGTGGCCAAACAGGTTGGATTTTGCCTGGACGATACTGGGTACGTTGCAGTTCGTTATTTTCCTGCAAAGCATCTCTTTTTTTTTCAGATTACCCGTAGAAATTCTACCCTACCCACCTGATTTACCGGTACCCATTCTTGTGTGGCTACTTTAGGAGCCACACCAATTTCTGGCATTTGCTCTTCCGGAAATTCGTTCCACTTAACTTTCTGATAGCTTTGTGGCTTGTTCACGATTACAGTACGCTAGATGGAGTAATACGGTAATGTACGGTAGAGTAAGATAGACTAAGACTACTCTATTCTAGCCTACGGTAGCACGACAAATAACCGGCATACCTGTACTTCATGCATGTCAGAGAATTCCGGAATGGAAATTTTTCCAACTTGTGGTGGCTGCACCTCTGGTGGAACGCGGTGTTGAGTTTGCCAGCAGGCATCGTCCTGAGAGATATTTACATGTGTAAAGGGGATGGAACAAAAATTGATTAGCACGACTCGCACCGGACAAGGCGCGACTTGCGGCAAGCAAGAGCGCGGGTCGCGGTACTTTTAAAGCTTTGAGCTGTCTTGGATTACCAAAATGGATGAATTATCCATGACCCCCTGAGAGCCATGAATTACAATTCTTTCTAAAAAATATTGTCATATAAAGGAACTTCAACAGCACCTATTTTTTTTGAAAATCTCCACTTTTTATTGATTTGTTGATAGCAAAAAGCCCACCTCTCTTTAGACCCTCTCATATTTTTTTTTTGCCGTCAACACCAGCGGCGCATCCAGAGAGATGTTACACCTCGTGCGTGAATGTGTATGTGTGTGCGAGCGCAAGTGAGAGAAAGCCATTAATTGGCCAAGATAGGCTTAAGTTACGAAGAAAAAACTTCACAGCCGCCTTGCTTTCCCTATACCAACATCTCACTCAGCGGGGGGGGGGGGGGGGAGGGGCGAGGACGGTAACCGATTTTTTTCCCTCTAAAGTGTTTTGGTTGATTTTTAAACAATGAACATTTGAAATTAGGAATTTCGGAAAATTCTTGAAGGCGGATAAAACTTTTGTCTTAGCGTTATCGGTAGAATTCGCCCATTTTTGTTTTTGCTGTTATGTTCTCCACGAAAATTTTCTTTTCAGGAAAAAGTTATGTAAGCCTTGAAAAGTCAGCAAAGAATCATTTAAATTGGACTCCAAGTTCTCTCTCCTCTAAATTTAACCATTTCAAAAGATTCACATAGAATTGTTTTTCAAATTATGTTTTGGTTGACTTGGTATGGCAAAATGAATGTATGATGGAACTTTTCCTGTAGTTCGTTTCTGTTCTTTTGAATAAATGACGCATTTAGGGTTTTTATCTCAATTTTTCTCAAGCTGCATGATAGTTATGTTACAATCCGTACACATAGTTCACCTCATTTTGTAGAGTGTATCGAATTGGCTAACGAATAATATGAAGTATTCTATTTATTTTGCTTATAATTTTGTGGATGGTCAGCCCAATACCTAGTAGCAAAAAGTAATGCTATAACATGTATGTTACACTTATATCTACTTTACCTAGCCACTTCTCTCCGACATCAACTGCGAACAGATTTTGGTGCACAGTATGATATCATTTTGCAATTTCTTTGGCATTATTCTTTTTTTTGCCAGAGTCAAAGACAAATACCGACCCTACTGTTACTGCAGCAGTTTTCACCTCATATTCACAAAACGTGATATTTGGGACACAAGTATAGATTCAAACAACCTAATTGTGTCTAATTATGAGCTTTTCTTAGTAGTTCATACGCTGGTTTCCTGTGGTCTATACGCTAGATTGATCGGTAGAATTCGCCTCGGCACTTATCCGGGAATTGGATGTTCTAAGCCTTGAAGAAACGATACCTGAAACCTAACTGCTCAAGAGGATTTTACTTTGGGACATCAGAAAACACAAAGAATATTCCGTAAATTGCCTTTGCGTTCTCTGTGGAACTCATTTGTTTTGCCTACAATACTGAAGATAAGCAAAAATAATCCATAGCAAAGATGAAGCGGTCATTAATACACACTTCCATTTTCCAGAAAATTCCGTGCATTAAATAAACAAAACAAAAAATGAAAGGAGAGTGATTTACAACATGTTTTGAGGAGGTAGAACTAGGGGGCAAGACATTTTTCAAACACATTGACGACAATGTGACCCACGTGGTGGTTCATAGCTTAGATTTAGTCAAAATGATTTTAGTATGGAAAAATTCACTTCGAAAGTTAGAGTTTGCGCTGTAATTTAAAGTATCTTTTATGTTTGTCGGCAAACTCTCTGATGTACGGTAGGTATACTGTAGATCACAATCTACGCCATTTTGCCAAAAAAAATATTAGAAGCCCATAAAAAGCTGTGTCCCACAAGGCGGACGAGTAAATGTCCGTTGTCGTCAAGTGTTAAATAAAGGTGCGCGGCTTAGTCAAGTACTCCGAGAAACTTTTGGATGCTTCCCAAAAATTTTGCCCCCACCCCAAAAAAATATTTCTTCACAAGGCTAATACGAATTTTTGACAAATTAGAAAAATCAATCTAATTATCAATAAAAATAAACAAGTTACTTGCACATTTTCATAAAACATGTAAATGACTTTGAATTTCGCGACCCCTTCTCGAGGGAAAGGGGGAGGGGGCATCCTTTGGCTGCTGAAGTTTGCCAACGTTTTCAAAACGTGTTCTTTCGTCATATTTCATCGATTTGCTTCTGAGTAAGACAAACTAAAAGGAATATTCACTTGCAATGAACAGATTTGCATAAAACGCTGGCGAAAATTACTTAGCAAATGATTGTGCTTGGACTGAAAATTTTATGCTGCAAGTCAAGCAAAAGCAAAAAGGTTCTAAGTCCTACATTTTCATGTGCTTTCTTTTTTCCAATCCTCAAACTTAAATACTGCGTCACATCAATTCGCAGCAGCGTGCTTCTCCTAATACGTTAACAGCATTTGAAATGAAGTGATTTTGTTTTTCGACATCCACGGGAGCACTTATCGAGGAGAAGATGTATGTTTATGACCGTGCAAATCTATTCGCAGAAAAATATGCTGATCCAATTTCCGACTGGAGATTGGATTGAGAGAAGTGTGTTGATGTTTACTCAAAAGCAGCACTCCGGGCAAACTCGTCCAAAGGTGAGAAAACAGCTGAGTATACTGGCTTTAGTTACGATTGATAGCGTCAGGCGCAAGCAAGGCTTTGTTTGTTTTTGGGCAAGACTTATCTCCTTGCTGCTGCTATACTGTAACAGGTATATGACTAATATCTGTGAAGTATATGAATTTGGGTGATCCGGAACCCATAATGTTGATCGGGGTGATCAGTTTTTTATTAATTGAAAAGTATTGAAATTGAGATGTTTATAGATACAAATTTGAGTGGGCGAAGGCAAAGCACTGTTCGTTTTCAATCTAATCCCTAAAGTACCTAGTACATAAACAAGAGGCGCCAACGAGAATCTAAAAATAAAGGAATGCAAAGGAGGTACATAAATAAACCGCGCACGACAGAAAAAAAGAGGCTTATAATTAGAAGACTGATTTTTTTATGTGCAACGTGATCTTATAATGCTCACGTGATCGTGAGCATAAAAAACAGAAAATTTTTTGGCAAGGTGGTAACTGGAACAGATGGGAAAAAGGTGCATCATGGTTACCTTCTAAAATGGAAATCCAAGGTTGAGGAATTAATTTGTACTATTTTTAATGTTTTGACTGAAATTAAGAAAAACGCCAAGAATTCGAGTCAGAGATAGGAAAGTTCGGAACTTCTAAATCTGTGAAAATGATATGTTATGTATTTTAGCATGCTTGGTTTTAATTCTAACTTCAGCGCTACCGTAAAGCTCACTATCGACAAAGTACGGTAGATCAAAAAAAGCGACCAAAATATGCAATTTGAAAATGAAACTTTGGAAAATATTCATCTTCGCGATATAATAATTTTCAATTATTTGGCGCGATGCAGTCCAAGAGAATAACAAATCTGTGTAAGACAATTTCTGAGACACCATATTCTTAAACACAGGTCTTGAGTGGAAGATGGTTTTGAACAACTGTCGGGATGTTGAGAATACAAGACTGTGCTTTTTTCTTTTGGTCACTTGGCTTTCGCATTGACTATTAGTTAATTTACACAAATATCTCGATAGAAGTGCGAGCCGAGGGAAGTAGGGCAATTCTGAAGTAGTGATCTAGGACGTATGCTATGTACCTTATTTTCAGGTTTTAAGCCGCAGGGTGGTCCTAGCTTACATCGAGCAGCCCGAACACATCAAAGGACCTCGCAACCAAAGGACTCTACACCATGCTGCGTATTGCTTTAAAGAATCGTGCGGCATAAGGATCGCCTTTCGAAACACAATGAAGCGGCTAAGCAGCTTGTTTGGAAATTTGAGAAGTGCGGCTTATACACTCGAAAATGGGGTAATTACCATCAAAACCGTGCGCGAGTCGCGCAAAACCTCACACCCAAAGCATGTTGCGCGAGTCGCGACAATGGCATGGACCATAATCAACAAATTTTCGACGTACCTGTAGCCGTACCGGAGTCGGTGCAGGTTCGTCGAAGCCCATCGCGTTTGCGTGCTCTCGCGCTGCTGCTTCTTCCTCCCAACGAGACGCCCCTGCCAGTCGACCGCTGCGATGCACACTCTGCATAAAAAAACAATCACTTGTCATCATATAAATCCCAATCACAGATTGATTCGGGTGATAAGTCGATTAAGAGGGCTGGATTGATCTGTCATGTGGGTATTGCTAGAATTTGAGCTGTCGAAACAGAGGAATTTTGAAAAATTGCGAAAATTTGAAGCAAGCCGAAGATATTCGTCTAGCGCGGTTTTACGAAGCTTAAGTAAAATAAAGATAGATAAGTTCTGCGGTATACTAGTCGAAGGCTTGTGATCATACGAAAGAATGGATTGAACTACGAAGAAAATCCTAAAATTCGAGCAAGAAGAAACTGAAAGAGTGCGAATTTTGTGTGTAACGAATGCGTCATTTTTATAGAGCTGCGAGTTGGGTTGAAATGTACGGATTGTGCACTTTTTTGAAAACACACAAAGAAGCATATATCTCAAAGTTGAAAGATTGTTTTGCGTTCTAGAGGTGGCTACCGTAATCTACAGTATGTCCGGAAAACGTTACAGAAGAGGAATTGCTACTCACATACGTCGTAGCTATTTGAAAAATCAAATATTCAACAGAATGTAACTAACTTAACTAACTTATAGGAGAATTAAAGGCACTAGATTCTTAAACTTTGCTTGGAAGGAACAACCGGAAAAAGAAAAAAAATCAATTTTTATTGTCATGAGTCTTTTTGTACCTTTCTATTGAATCACAAAAGGAAATTTAATCTTATTAAAACATCAATATTTTTTGCTTATTTCACGTCATTATTCTGAAATTTTAGCCAAATGCTCAAGAATTTCTTTTTTATTAGTAAAAAATCCTTTTTTTTGGAATGCATGCTGGATTAGTGAATGAGAGATGAGCAATAAAAACTTGAATTTGTCTATTGATAATTTCATAACTCGTACAAAATCAGAGTCACGTATTGATATTACGAAGGCTTGAGATTAACTTCGCAACATTTATAGGTTTTTCGTCTTTATAAAACAAGGAAAAATGCGTTCCAAATTGTATTTTACTTCTATTGTGCAGAAGTATTCAATTTTGTAGTTCTAAAGCTCAATTTCTATTGCTTTACGCTTACGTAGAGCTTACCTAGAGGCTACTCTAAGCACAAATTCTGAGAAATTATAAAAGGTAGGAAGCTTTCGGCAAATGTAGCTGCAAAGAACAGAAGAAGCGAAGAGTCAAGAACCGGGTGCTAAAATTATAGGTCTAAAACGGCTTGATTACCAAGAACCGAGGTAATAAGGAAGACAAATCCCAAGCGGAAGTAATGTTGATATGGTAACCAAACCTCGGAAACCACTCCAGCTATAACCACACCCTCCCCTCTCCGATATGATCTTAGCAGAATCTCTCGGCCGAACCGAGAGGCGCTTTTGCCTCGGATAACATTTACCCAATCGATGTCAATGAGAGCAAATCCACTGCCAGAGCTTTTTGTCACATCTCCCCCCAATATCAACAATGAGGCGCACAATCCGTGCGCGATTCTCTACAGCCGGGTAATTGATGGTTGACCCCACGCTTTGCGAAATTTATTTCAAAGAAGTTTTATTCAAAGAATTTGTTTTCATTCCGGCAGCTGTTGCTGTCAGCGGCGCGCGAAGAAATCCATCAATCTGGGAGCGTTGTGAAAAAGCTTGATCAAAGGTGTGTCCGAGTTTTCGAGGCCAGGTAAGATCATTCAACAGAAAAATACACAATGGAACGGACTGGGAAAGCTCTTGTTGTCAGCTTCATTGAGTGAAAGAGAGGGGCGTGAGGGTGCACATCTGCGGGTTTCAAATGACAATAACTGACCAGCTCAAGATTATTTGTCTCGGAACAGATGCGGTTTGAGAAAAGTTATACAATAGAGCTACTTTTGAATGTCTGAACCCGCTTACAAATTTTATAGGGGAAAAGTGCAGCTACACTTATTGTATGTAGATGTCCATTGTATTTTTTAAAGATAATTTTTGTTTAACTTTTCGTCTTTTTCTGAAAGAGTCAAAGCTTTAGGAAGAAGCGACAACGGGCTAATTATGGATGTGTTATAGCAATATAAGCAATTTTCTAATATACTTCAACTTATATGTTTTGGTCTATCCTATAAAATACTCGGTTATTTTTCTTCTACGTTCTTTTTGTCACGTTTCCGGGAGCATCAGTGCCATTACGAAAGCAGTCTGGGTGTCAAAGATCTTTGAAAACGCAAAATTGTAATTTTGGTAAAATAATTCGGTAAAGTTTTGAGGAGCCAGAAAGTAAAGGTGTCATGTGTAAAGCGCATATATCAGATTACAATTCTTACATAACATGGAAAAGGAAAAATCTGAAGTTACAAGGATTTTTCTTTCTGTGACAGAAATTATCTTTCGATTTCATACTAAATACTCAGTTTTTGCTGAGGAATTTGACTGTTTTTAACTCGCTCGTGCTCTAATGAACGCAAAAAAGTCTAAACGTTGGCTTAATAAAGGCTATGCTAATTTTTTTCTAGCTAAAGCAACCATATGAAAATCACAAGGGAATAATACCAATCTTAGTTGGCGATTGAAGAAAGCTTTTCGCTAATCCGCTAATCATATGCCCTCTAAAGCTTGACAGATTTGGAAATAAACGCGCGTACATAGCTTTTTTCGAAGAGTTGTTCCGCAAAAAAAAGGAAGGCAACTTTGGAATCAGCGTTTAGAGATGCATCTTGTACGTCTTCAATAACTAGCTTAAGTTAGTAACTCTTCCTTATAAGCTAACAAAATCCTTAGATGCTATCACCGAGTTTGCGCTTTCCCATGAAAAAGCGTGCAAAAGACGCTTAAGATAGTTCTATACTAATTTTCAAATTCAAAAATAATAAAGTTAGTTTGAGAGATTTTGTTTACTCTTTCCAATAGGTGATGGTATATATAGACTGTTCTAAGTTTCACCAGAATTTAAAAGTAGAAGATTTTACGAGTGGATAGCCGCATATAAGGAGAACTCTAATGAAGAATGACTTGAACATTAACGTTCAATATAGCCTACACTCTATTCTTAGCACTATCGCCCACTTCTAGAGCAACAAACATCTTTCTTATGCTTGAACGCACAAATATTCTCAACTTTTTGCGAAGACTGCAGCTAAAGGGCAAAGTGGTTTGTCTCTAAAAAGCTTGTTATAACTCAAAATAGATCTCGAGATCCTTTTATCCCACAACGAGGTTGATGTTTTGCAATTTTTTCTAAATTCTCTTCAAATTATTTCTCAGGCGACTGTAGACTTTGCTAAATTTGGAACAGTAGAACAACATAAACAATTATTATTTTCTCCAAGCAATTCTCCTTGATTTGTGAGCATACTTTAGAAGCCAGACCTCACGGAAGTGCATAATTCGCACTTGTCATGATGAATTTGAGCAGATATAAATGAATCAGATGTTTCTTCCGTGTCTGAGAGCAAATCATCTTTGCTTTTTGCGGGCACCCATATGAGCAATGACGAGAAAACAAAATTGATATGCCTAAAGCTCAAAGGATATTGCCAAAATGCACGCTACATTTATGTATCTCAAAATCTTTTAAAAGGGAGTGATATCAAAACGTAAGGTTCGAATGAGGAGCGACTGGAAGAGGTACGGGGAATTTGTTGGCGCATTGGGGGAGGGAGGAGAAAAAGAGATCCCAACTACTTTCTTGCATTAATAATTGCTGGTGCAATGAATGGGTGCCTTTTTTCCAAAATCGAGATAATAGGGTTGTAACGCAACATTCGTTACGTAACGACTACTTGTAAATTCACTAACAATATTTCTTTTTTTTATGATTGCAAAAAAAACCAGCTTTGCTTACGTAAGTATCGCCTCTCTTAAATCACAAATGAAAAGTAGTTCATTTATGTAAATCATTCATTGCAATGGAATAAGATAATAGCAAAAGATTCCTCTAGCCTTTATTATTGATCTCGAAAAGTGTAAGTAAAAAGAGGTAGAGGTTATTCGGATTACTTTTTAATGAAAAAAAGGATTTAGTCAAAAACAAATTCCATATAGAAACAGTGAGTGAAAATGATGGCTTTCTTTGAGCAGTGTCAAAATGTGACTTCAAAACTCTTTTCCTCAACTGAGATGGCAAACTTGCTCTAATTCAAGCAATGTTTGCATTGATGGTTGAATTTAGGAATATATATGCCTTCGTATGCTTTTGCTTTTTGTAAAATAATAATTGCTCTTGTCCTGGCGGATAGACTTCAAAGGAAACGTGAGCTCATCTGTCTCATAATTTTTTTTCGCTTCTGAACGCAAGTACAAAAATCGCTGGACAAAAAATGCACTTTTGAGGCTTCCGAATGCTCAAAGGGATTTTGGTGAAGTGAAGCTGTTATGTTAAGCCATCTATTCATCATTTGTTGCGGAAGTAGCCAAAATCCTTGACGGGGTTGCAAAAAAGAATTTCTTCATTGAACTTGTTTCCGCCAGTTTAACTCATACGGGACCTGATTTGTACTACATATTACAACAATTACGTTGGAATTCTCATAATACTACATCGTAACTTATCTTCTCTTTTTAGCTTTCAAATTTCTTCCAAAATCAGAAAAATAATCCAATTATGTAAGTTTCCAGATAGATGTGCCGAAGTGCCGGATATTCTCCACTTACCTGTAATTCCGGTGGTGGCTGCTCTTTCTCGATAAATCGTTCTCGCACGTGCTCAGCTCGAATTCCAGGCTTTGGAGCGTGCACTCTTTCGAGAGGTCGAGTAGGCTCTTGTGCGAGCTGTTCTTCTTGCATCTGAGAGTACAGATAGCTATAGAGTAAAAAATCAAGCTCTATGGATAACAGAAAGGGTCGGAAAGGGGGCAAGCAGGTAGCTACGAACTTCCCAAATTCAGGTTACGAATCATTCCTAATCATTCAAAAAAGGAATTTGAATGCTGAGATCGCAGAAATTTTCTTCGGTATGGATAGAAACTTCTTTTTAACCCTAAGGACATGGCGTTAGCGAAACCGTCCATTTTTGAGCCTTCCAGAATTTTTATTATTTTATAGCCCAAAAGTTCAGTCAAAGGCCTTCACTTTTTGCATCCTTCATAGAAATTTTGAAAAAAGGAGTGATGTCAGCTTTTGATTTGATTATTATATTACTAAGATTACATTGATTATTTACAGGCTGGAGCAAGTTATTTGCACAATTTCTGACTCATAAAGACCATATCTATATTCGTGAACAGGAGTTAAAAGCAGTAAACCAATTTCTTTAGCGGCGTATCGTATTTTAAACATCCCACTCTAAGATTTCATCAAGATAAGTAATAATTTGGATGTTGTATGGGTTATTGAAAAGTTTACGATCAGAGGTTTTTTTTGCGTTTCTTGAAAATGATGTGCTTCATAGAAAACGGTTTTGTTCGATATGAAAGAATTGCAGGAGATATCGGCAGCTTTCCGGTAACTTCCCACTGATTTTTGAGGTGCCCAAAAAATTCTGCAACTGCCATTGATACATTACTGCAACAATTAGCATCGGCATATATCATCTTTTTTTTGAATGAAGCACATTACTACAATGTAGAAGCATTGTGCTAAAATTGTCTGCAACGCAAATGGTCTTCTTTGAGAGGTTTTTTACGGCAATTTTTGCAATTATTTTAGAATGAACCATTAAAATTTCTGTTTCTTTGTTTTCCTCAAACAGGCCCTTCTAATCCTACTTTCAGAAAAAATGATCATCCGGACAAAATCTGACCAGTAAGCATCCTAATATTCTCAATATTGCACTATCATTCTCCAAAGTTATCATAGAGAGGTCGAAGGCCAATAAAAAGAAAGTTTTTATTTTAATGATTTACAGCGATTAGTGCAAATAGCGTTAGTGGATACTGGAGTAACAAAAAAAGAACATCGGTGAAGTGTAATTGTAACATTCCTGCGATTTTACCCTTTGAAAAAGTAAAATTACCTTCGCAGCTTGCCGGAGTGCAGTATTTCTTGGTAGCGGCTGTTGTGGTTTTTCCTCTTCTCTCGGCTCTGGCATGGGGTTATGCACTCTGCCCGGGGTACGGTGTGGGAACTTTTGTGGCTCTGCAATGAAGCTTTTCAATCCCTAGACTATTAAGAAGAATGTCTAAAATGCAAACTCACGATTATCAATTTGTTGTGGGACTGGATCAGGCTTGGCCTTGACCTTAGGCACAGGCTGAAGCGGCTGCTGTGGTGCAGCCGCGGCGGCAGCACCCCTAGGAGGTGCAACAGGCTGTTTGTTAACTGCGTTTTGTAAATGAACAGTCTTTGGTGGAACCGCCGGAGTGTGAGCCCCTGGTTTACCCATAACAGGTATTTGATTGACTTCTGTTGTTGATGTGGTGTTGATTGTTGTCTTCTGTACCGTCTGTGTCTGCAGCTGCTGCTGCTGCTGTGGCCTCTGTGGTTGTTGTTGTCGAAATTGTTGCTGTTGCCGTTGCTGCTGCTGTGGTTGTAGCTGTTGCGGTTGTTGCTGTTGCGGTTGCGTTTTCTGCTGCTGTTGTGCCCTTGCTCTAGCTTCAGCTTCAGCTTTCTTGGCTCGTTCCAAGGCCTCCTGTTGTGCCTTCTTTGCCTGCGCCTCTGCCTCTGCCTTAGCCTTAGCAGCTCTAGCCTGAGCTTCAGCTTGAGCCTTAGCACGAGCTTCAGCCTCTTGCTTTGCCCTAGCCTGAGCTTCCGCCTGCGCCTTAGCACGAGCCTCTGCTTCCTGTTTAGCTCTAGCTTGCGCCTCAGCTTGAGCCTTAGCACGAGCCTCTGCTTCCTGCTTGGCCCTTGCCTGAGCATCAGCTTGCTGGTTCTGTTGTTGAGCTCTCCCTTCGGCATCTGCCTTCGCCTTAGCTTCGGCCTGAGATTTGGCCAGTGCTTCTCGGGCTTTTGCTAAAGCTTCTTCTTGAGCTTTCTTTGCCTGCTCTTGTGCTCGCTGAAGTGCTTCTTGCTGCGCTGCTTTTGCTCTTGCATACTCCTCTTCTGCTGCTTTTCGTGCCTGCAAAGTTTGTCAGTAGTTTGTTATTTAAACGTTTTAAACAAAATGCACAACAGAGGTGAACTCAGTGCAAAACATAGTGGATAATACGCCTTGCTCAGAATCATACGATCCATAACAGAAGCATATAGGCTTTAGCTTCTTCAGGCCTTTCAAACGTGCCGTTTTTGGTGGCACTTAGAATACTTTTTCACGATATAGTAAACATATTTTCGTAGCATAAAGACATGCAAGAATACAGCGTGCAGCATGCTAAACTGAAAATGATAGGTTGAATGCTTCAACATACAGCTTCAGCTTTCTTTCGCATTTCTTCTTCCATGCGTCTCGCATACTCTGACGCCTAAAAATTATGGTTAGCCAACACAAGAGCGTTCAGACAACTTCTTCATACTACTACTTTAGGTTAACTACATAAGCCTTTACAGTTTACATGGTGGGTGTAAAAAACACTAAAAAAGCAATCCAGGATTATATTACTCAAGAATGTAGAATAATCGCACCTTGAGATGTAATAGCAATATAAGAGGATTCTAGGGTTACCAAACTACACTAGCTTTATCGACAATACTTGCCCGTGAAAAAATTATAGCGCACAGAGCAAATTCCGTTGAGTTTCTACGTTTAAGACACCAATTCCATAAGTGGTCTAAACAACCTTGTTCGCTTCCTCGTCTTTAAAACCATTCGTGGGCTGGACTTATGTTGAGTTAGTGGATGTTTTTTATTGTAATCCTTACTATTGATTATATCTCGAGTTTTTCATTGATTGCGGTCATGTGGCACGTTTATTGCGTGTTAAATAAATAAATTATTCAATAAAAAAGATGTGCATACGGCCGCCTCTTTCACCAACCAATGTGCACAACTATAGCCAAATCACCACTTCGTGCAGTAGTATATGCGAAGATCCCAAACTGTTTGTTTCTCTCTACTTGTTTAGAAAGTCATGATAGGTATTGCAGAACTTAGTCACCTGATCGTTGGTCCCATTCTGCTGAACCTGTTGTTGTGGTGCCTGCGCCCTAGCGGCGGCGGCTGCTTGAGCTGCAGCAGCTTGTTGATCCTGAACGGAATTGTAATAATGAGTGTACTGGTAGAAGTGGCACTCACCCTGGCAAGTTTTTGTGCTTCAACCATTTTCTCTCGTTCTTCGAGAGCCCTTTTGTCTTGTTCTGTTTTTTCTGTTCTTACAACTTGTGTGACAACCGTCTCATTGGCTGGAATAAATGGTTACATCTATTGTAGTCTCATGTACATATTTTTAGAAGACATGTATGGGGACAAGAGCCTTTTTTTCAGTTATTGGCGCATATAAGATATAGGTATATGAAAGGATCATATGAATCATATCTCAAGTTAAAACAGGGTTCAATAGGTCTTAAAAAAGTATTTTGATCTGTTTATGATTGAAAGATATGTTGAGAATGTGTAAAAGAAACTTTAACGAAAGGAACTAGTAAAGAAGTTTGTGGGAAGAAGGGAGAGAAGAGAACTCTTACGAAGTCAATTATGAAGGAGTAAAAACGAGACCGATCGGTGAAGGAAGTGCTTCCGCAGCATCAGAACACTGGAAAAGCACGTAGAATCTTTTCGATAGAGAAAAGTAAGCTTCTTAAAAAGTTTTTTTGTCAACAAAAAATTCCATAACTCACATAGAGTATGGGGTCAAACTAGGAGACAATTTTATTAGAAATTGAATCTTAAATACCATAATTCTGTTTACATGCGAATATGCAATATAACATTCAGAAGTACAACTACATAGTTTCATCTTTGCATTGTTCTGATTTCCGAAAATATCTATTCATTAGTTTCTGTCGATGTCTGTGGGTGTGCTAGAGCTCCCACTAATCGACACTATTTTTTCCAGACTATCTTTTTCCATTGCAGCGTGAACACTATCCTTACTTACCTCGCTGACTTTCACCAAGCAGGCGAATGTCACTTAGCACGGCTGCCTTTGCCTCCGCTGGAGTTGGGTTTGAGGCAACACGAAACTGTGACGTACGTTTTGGAAGGACGACCTAAAAGTTTCAAAGTCATTGGAGAACAGAATGAAGACACTGATATATTCTAAAGCGGAGACAACAAGATGAAACACACCACCTCTTCGTCCGATTCTTCCTCCTCTTCCGAAGAACTTCCATTGTACTTGTCAACAACTGAAAAAGCGAATCATAATGTTGAAATTTAGCGTGCGTAAACTATAATTTTAGTATTTTACTGTGCAAGAGCTGCTAAATAAACAGCAGAGTTCACACTTAGTTAGATGGTGCGAAATAACTATGTTATTGCGAATTCCTTACTTTTAGGTTTCATATATATTGAGATAACCAATGAGTGAGTTCCATCTGGATCTAAAAGTTATGTTGTAACCACAATCTAATGTTCAGCCACAATCTTTTATTTAATAATGACATCATTGTTAAGAAATTGCTGGGGACAAACAAAGCTAGAAGTTTTGTTTAGAAGATAAAAAATTGTTTTCAACTTTGCATCTAAGCAAACAGCACAGTTTGTACATGTATTCATATGTATTGAGATAACCAATGAGTGAGTTCCATCTAGATCTAAAACTTATGTTGTAACCACAATCTGATTTTCAGCCACAATCTTATTTTTTTTATAATGACATCATTGTCAAGAAATTGCGGGAGACAAACAGAGCTAGAAGTATTGTTTAGAAGATAAAAAATTGTTTTCAACTTTGCATCTAAGCAAATAGCACATTGTATACATGTATGTATGAATACAAAACCATTCAAACCACAATCATGGAGGCTTAGGGTTGAGCCAGACTACGCTGGGGAAGCGGCGTACGCTGCGCACGCAGCGTACGCTCGGTATATTTCATCATAGGGGCGTACGCGGCGTACGCCGCTTTCCTAGCGCAGTCTGGCACAACCCTTATCTGATAACTGATCAGCTTGAATTTTGCTACTAACTGAGGTGAATACAGATCGCAAACTTTAAAAGCGTTGCTAGGTTTGCACGCATGTTCCGCATGACGGCAAACAGAAAATTATTGGCTGTATTGTCATAAACACGATATATAGGTAGAACTAATAAGACTTTAATAGGAGGTAATCGGTCATCCCAATAGCAAAGCTTCAAACAAGTATGAAGAAAGAATCACAGGAGCTTTCAAGAGTCATCTTACCGTTTGCTCGCAGTTGGCATTGCAGTTGCCAAAGATCCACTTAAAAATTAGAGTTTAGAATAATAACTTCAAATTCAATAATTTTCAGCCGAAGTACCTGTCAACATGCAAACTTGATGCACTGGACTTATTTCGATGCATGCTCACTCAATGGATTGAGATAGCACAAAAAAAGCGATTACAGCCAAAATTTATCAAGAGATTAGTGAACGTAATGAAATATGTTGAAACATTAGCCCTCGACGTAGATTAGCTTGACTAGGTGGAAAAAAGCCAAGATTTGCGAAAAGGCCCTGCCAATGAGGGCTCATCTATTGAAAGATGCAACCCAGTTGTAGTTTCTTCAGGTTAGAAGCGATCACAATTTTGTTCAGTAATTCTAAGTTTTCAGCATTATCAAAAGGGAAGGGAGATCTTGAATCGATCATGTGAAGAGACTATTGGCTCCTACTAGGAAGTTACTCACTTTAGGAAATGGAATCTGGATTATAGATAGCTCAAACATATTCGGACCTGGAGTAGATTGATACAACAAGCTCTGAGGAGTTTTTGAAGTCGTTTCTTTCTGCTTCCACAGTAAGCGCCGGCTTTTCTCCTTCTTCTTTTTCAGCCACTTCTCAAACTGACCAAAGCAGGATGCAAGCATTAGACAAATTTGTAGCAGTCGATGAGCGTTCAGGCCGAGGGAGGCAAATGTGCACGAAAAGAATAACGAGTACTAGTTTAGCGTATTGTACAACCAAGCGCAACTGACGTACAACTGCGAAGGCTCTGCGAGGAAAATAGAAATGTCTGCCTTGTCGAAAAAGCACACCTATCCGCATCCATCACGCTCAAACTGTTCACAGATGCTGAAATTGCAAAGGGCAGACACTATCCATGTGCAAAAATTGCATGGATATTGCGCGGTGTAATGAGGTGTGCATAAGCGTGGGTGACAATGGATTGTCAATGTTCCTGTATGAGGCTTCGTATTGCTAAACAGTCTAATTTATAGGACACGTTGAAGAAGCGTGAGCACCTGGCGTTACGGACTCATTTGATGTAGAAAAAGGAAGACAACTTGATGGAGAAAAACGAAGACACAGTGAGGCTAGAGTTCGCAAGGCAATTTAATCAGTAATCTTTTTTTTTCTCTGGTCCAAAATGCAACATCTGCGAGGTATCGAAGTTAGAGCTATACTACTTCAATTGAATTCTTTGAATTGTTTGGTTAGGAGTACTTGACGACGACCACGCGCGCACCCAACAACTTAATAAAGGCATTGGCTTTGTTCGTCCTTTTACAACAAAAAGAATGATTTGTGTAAGGTGAAGTAGTTTTAGAATCAAACGTTTTGTAGACCTTCCCCTGATATCACGAGGCAGCATTAAGCCATGGTGGTGATTGTACGCAACAGAAAAAAAACTTTAGGTTTGAAAACAGCAACAGGCTGAAACAAAGTGGCTTTTCTGAAATATTAGAGCTTTGGTAGCTCTGGTAGCTCTGGCAGCTCAAAAGCTAGAGTTTGTCAATACTTGGAAAAGCCCAAAAATCAATTTGAGAAATCTTAACAAAGGATGGGAGCTGGAAGAAAATACCTTAATATCACAAAGATTCGGATCTTAGCGCTACAAACAACTGAAGAGCACTCTGTTAGATAGCATCTCGATAAATTAGGCATTTTGAATCACACACTTTAACAATATCAGGCTGGAACATGAGAATCTTACTTTGTGATTTTTTTCCATTATAACAACTATCGTGAAACTATAGAAAAACATTCATTGTCCTCCTATTAGGTTGTCCCAGAAGTAAACTCCATTTTCAAATAAATTGAGATGTTCTTGTTTGCACAGACTTAAGGTACCATTCGATAGAGCGGAGCAAGCTTTACAAAAAGAGCACCAAAGATCTACCTAACGTAAAAGTTTGGGCCAAAAATCAAGATAGCTACCCTAAAAATCGGATCTCCTTCCAGAGAATTTCCATGGACTTTCAACTTGGTGTTTGTATAGTAGACAATAGTAGTACCCAAAAATGTGTTTGGCGGATTTTTTTCGGGGCTCAAAACTGAGAAAAAAAGATGGTCCAAAACTGCCAAAATGCCACTTTCTTCGGGTTTTTTGTGTAAAACTTGGTATTTCTCGAATATATGAGCACATACAGAGGTAAGTTTTTGAAGTTATACTCAGTAAGACTTGTAGTATACAACGACACTTGTGGGAGGGGCTGGGGCGGAGTTTGCCATTTTTGGACAATTTTTGTTTCTCGTTTTCTATGCTTGGAAAAAATTCGGTAAAAGCACAGTTGTACTACTATGTGCCTACTATATAATGACCAAGTTGGAGGTCTGTAGGATTCCTTATCGCAATTACGAAATCCAATCTCCAGGTGACAAATTTTTTCCGATTTTGGCTCCAAACTTTCCACGGAATGCGGCTTAGGTGAACCCTTGGTAGATATTTTGTAGAGCTTGATCTGCAGACTTCAGAAGCTTCAAAGCAATGTTCTGTTTGCCAGTATGCATTTGAAACAATGGGAAAAAGGTTCCAAAGCCAGTTGTCTCATGAAAAACATGAGGTTACGGATGCAGCGCGCGAAAATTGAGGCACAGACGAGCAAAGGAGAAAAGAGTCGGCGGGGCTTTTCGCCGTGGTTGGAAATTTCGCATATTCTCAAAATATTAGTAACATTAATCATAGTCACAGAATGACTAATATTATTCTCTACAATATCAGTCATTCTGTTTGTTATAAGTTAGCTGAAACACTGACAACTTCGCCGAGTTCGGGACGACCTTAATGAGTAAATGGCATTTGTGTTCGGCTCTATGTGCAAGTTACAAACTCGTTTTCCATGCCTTATCCTATACAGTCTTTTTCCCGGGTTTAAAAGGTTATGTTTGAACCGTGCACCGGTTGTTCAAAAGGTTTATTGTCATTTTGAAAAATTTAGTTCTTCTGTGCATAAAAAGAGCTTTGAGATAGCTGATTGATTTTTGATGTTGACTCTGACCTTTAATTAGTGCTGCGCCCTCAGTTTGCTTCTAGGTGAAGATTATGCTTCCAACTCTCGGGAAGGTTGTCAAAGTAGTTAGCCCTATGTATCGAAGTATAGTTCAAGACCTCACGCGCTTGAGATTACTAAGCCTTCAGAACTGCTAGCCTTTCTTGATAAATCGAAGGGAGCAATCGTGGAGGTGTTTAAATCGAAATCATTCTCACTTGCACAAATTTTAGAGTTGTAAGGGTTGCACAGGTGGCTTGCGGGGCAGACTGGATATCGTTTCTAAGGTAAAAAACAAAGAATATTGTTTTTGCGCGGTCTATAGCGGAGCCTCTCGAAAGAATATATGTACAGCTTACAACGGTATGTTCAGAAATCAAACAAGCTGCATGCCCTTAGATGCAGCATGAAACGCTGACTTCGAATCTGTTTTCCACATCTGCTTAGCGCCTATGTGGGCGAAGTTTTGTATGTCAAAATATTCTTTTTGAAAAGAGCCGAAACAGTGATTTTTTGTGCCATGTCATAATGTCTTGAAACAATCAAAAGACATTAGACTCACCCGAGAAATATCACGTAAATCAAGGCAGAAAATCAGAGTAACTTCATTTTCACTTCAAAACACTGCGAATACTTGTTGGAAGCCGAGAAGCTTACAGTATCTTGAAAAGTACTCAAGTTCAACTGTTAAAAATGTTTGCAGACCGCATTTCTTAGATTATACTTACACTACATTCACATTACAGATAGATTTTTATAAAATCGAAACGAATTGCTTTATCTGCTGTATCGGCTCTGGAAAGAACGATTGCCGAGATAACAATCTGTGACTGACCCATAAAATTTGGCATTTTCAAAATATCACCTTTCAAGAAGGATTGTCGAAACAGTGACTGACTTGTGCAATATTTAAATATCTTGAACCAACAGTCAATGTACATCACACTCACCCGCGAAATACTACGTAACGGATGGCTTCCTTACCTCAATATCCAAATTAATTCGTCTGACGG